TTTATTATCATTCTGCTTAGCTTGCTTCTTACGTCTTTGGGATGTAAGAACATGATGAACATTTTCTTTGTTTTCAGTACCTGACAGAGAAGCTAACACTTGGAAAGCAGAGTCCTCTTCTTGGTGGCAAAACAGTCGGAGATGCACTGTTTGGTATCCCGTTAAATATTCAAATCACAGGTTGGGTTTTTTTTTTTTAAGAACCAGTAGTATCTTTGCATAAAGTTGAGTACATGCATAGCTTCAAATAACTAATAAAGCCATTTTTGTGAGGCAGCTAATAAGAAGAAAGTTGTCTTAAATCGAGCTGTAAGGGGCCTGAAATGACTTCTTCAAGGCTGTGAACTGTGAATCATGTAAAATATGGTGCTTGACATGAACATGATATTAAACATATTTGGTTCTGTTTATTAACATCCCTATTTGCCGCAGCAGCTTTCTTCTGCTGCTGTTCCAGGGGTCACAGAGTGTTAGCCACTCTAATCAAGAATGTTTGCTTCACAAAGTGAGCATAATGTTTGTTTTTCCCTTTCTCATTGCACAGATTGCCCTCCTGTACTTTTCAAGGTCTCTTGTGCTGAAAACAGTGTTCAGATTGGAGGAAACCCATGGCACTACATTTACACACCGCCTCGTAAAAAAGACGAGGGGACCTACCACATCTGCTCACTCAAGGACGGCACTATGGTATATTTAAAAATTCCTCTTCAACTATAAATTTACCTCATTATTACCTTTTAGTTATGGTCGTAGTTTGAGTAAAACATGACAGTAATAAGTCAGTTTGTGGTAGAATGAGCTGTTGCTAAATTTGTCAGACCCTGGTGAGTTGTCATTGTAAGAAGGGCTCCAAATGTTTTTGACAGTCTTCCTATTCAGTCAGTGGACAGAGCAGGAGTGAACTAAGCCTGTAATCACCTCACAATACTACCTTTGTGCTGATCTCTAAACTCTGCCTTCTCTCCCATTGAGAAGCCATGACATTGTATCAGATTAGGGATGATATTACTATGTGTTATGTATTATTTTCACATAATCTCTCCACTGAGTTGTTCATGTGGAAAATACCACACATACTTGAATAGAAAACAGGAGAATCAAAGGGGGGTATAACACTCTTTATAGTATGAAGTGGAATAGATATCAGATTGTCAGTTGGTAAAGATAAGGGAGGTTTCCAGTTCCAGTTCAGCCTTCAAAATGTAGTTTAGGCTATGTTACGACCCGGCTCAAAGCCGCAACATAACAAAGGAGACGAATACCAGAGTGTAGGTGAACAGAGGTTTTGTCTTAAAATGGAATATCAGGTCGGCTAAAATGGCTGGTGCCACCAAGGCAAAGAC